GCATTAATTGTGGCTTGTTATTACTCCACATTAGCCTCATCCATATATGGAAGGTAGGGAGTGTGGGAGTATGGTCCACTAAAATATTACATTTTTTCCAAAAATAGTAATTAAATGAATTTCATGTTCAAAGAACTTCTAGTTTCCCTTTTTGTATATTATTTATTTGCACATGTTAATAACAAGATATTACCATTTTTATTTTTTTTATTTACGTGATGCAAAACATATAATGGTCACTGTATAGCTCATTTAATTAACCTGTTTGATTGCTAGAATCAGTTAGTTTAAAGAAATTAGTTACTGTGTTCAATATAAAATTTTCAATTGACATGTACTAAAAATGAATTCATTATCTGTATCATCTGACATTATCAATTTTATACTAGAAATATCAAACAATAATGATAATAACCTGAATAGCTCCAATAGTCAGAGTATTGAAATCTCTGGCAAATATAAGAGTGAGATGTGGGATTATTTCAATAAGATTGAGTGAATGAAGAAACTAAAAACAACTAAATATTCAGTCTCAAACTGTAAACGTAAAGCATTTTCTTGTGGAATTGGAAGTATGATCAAACTATTATGACATCATTTAGAGAGTGCACACTGGATGTTATATATTATAATAAGAAAAGACAAAAAGCACACAAAGAATATGACATAATCGAAGAAATATTTCAAAGGGCAAGTTTTTTTATTTATTTCTTTTGATTTTTGAACTAAACTAATTTGAAAAAGCTTATTCTAACTCTCTATGACTGTCACCATTAATATTGACAATAAAAAATTTTGTAATATATTTTCTATTTGGTTCATTAATTATCAGTATTCACTTGTCACAGTAGAAGATTCTGAATTGATCAAAATTTTCCAATATTGCCCAATCTGTCAAAGTTGATGCAATTAATAATACAATCATGTAACTTTATATCTCTGACAAACAGAAACTAAAAGTAAGTGTTGTCTTTATTATATTTTATTTCACTTATGCTTATAATACTATAGATATATCTTTCTATTATCAATTCCAAATTTTTTTTTACATCAAATCTTTGGACATTCTCCAATAATAAAGTTTTTCTTTCTGCTATAGCTCATTATATTAATGATAATTGAATTTTTTAAAAAATAATTATAGATTTTAGATTAATAAGTGAATGATATAATGAAATAAATATTGCAGATGAATTTTTTAAAAAATAATCATAGATTTTAGATTAATGAGTGAATAACATAATGAATAAATTTTTTAAAATATTAAAAAATTATAAAATTATATCAAAGATAAGTATCTTTTTTATTTCTTTATTAATTGATTATGTACTTATTATTGTTATCTTTATCTATTTGTCTTATAAAATACTTTTTTTTTAGATAACTTGTTATTACTTTAAATAATACTACAAATAATAGTATTTTTGTACAGAAATCAGAAACAAAATTAAAGGAAGAAAATATTAATTAGAACTTAGAGCATTTTTAATTTTGGTGTTTTAATTATATTCTTAACTTGATAGCACAAGTAGTTTTAGATTAAATATTTGCTAGATATTAATAATTTTTTTTTAAAATTCAAATTCAAAAATATTTATTCAAAATTTTATTTTTATTATACCAACAAAGATTAAAGAATTTAATTCTGCTATTCATATCTCACCCTAATATTTGAACTTCTTGAAATACTTATAATATATATCATTTTAAATATTATAATTCCATTTTGAATTGTCTCACTTAGTGGAATTCTACTTATGATATGATAAAAGATGGACTATCTTTTAAGCCAATAGGTTTTTAATTTCATATAATTTGAATATAAATTCTAATAAAAAATTTATAGGCACTTAATACTCTTACTAGCTCTCATAGTGATCTTAATTACTATGTTATTTCACATAATTAATGGTCTATCTTGGATAAAATTGCTGAGTTTCTTGAATTATTTAATGATATTACAGTTAAAATATCAACTAATATAAATTGTACCACCTTTTGGATCATTTCTCTTTTTAATATCATAATTGATCACGTTGAAGATGCAGCTTCAGATCAAAGACAAAGAATGGAATTGATAAAGTATTAAAAATTTGATTGTATTTACTAGCTCACTTTTAACAAATTTAATTATTGGTTTCACCACCTGTCGCAGCAACTATGACAGTAAGAGAAAATTTAGTTCAGTATTATAACAAATATAGCTATAATGTTATGTACCTCATTGGATCCAAGAAGAAAATTTCATTATTTCACAAAGAAAGAATTTCCAGATGACGAGATTGATAAAACAAAAGAATTGTAAGTTATTTTATTTTGAATATTTTATTTTATTTTCTAACTCTTATAATAATTAATCTCTTAGAATGCGCACTCTTTTTGAAATGAAATATGCATCAACCAACACTTTTACATCGAATAACAGCTTTTATCAGACAGCCCAGCCTTAATGATACTATAAGAGCAGTTACACATTTCATGCTGGATGCAGATTTTAATAATGAAGAAGAAGAAGAAGATCTTGATGAAATCGAACGTTATATCTCTGAGAAGCTGGCCAATAGGGAAATCAATGTGCTAGCATGGTGAAAGGTAAACAATAATAGTTGTTTATTAAAAATAACAATTTAAAATTGAGTAATATGATATTTAGGCACATCAAACACAGTTCCTCGTCTTGCCCGTATGGCTAGTGATTATCTGGCAATTATAGCATCCTCTGTTGTTTCTGAACGTGCCTTCTCTGCTGGTGGAAGCATGATTACAAATAAGAGATCTAGCTTGATGCCTAAGACCGTAAGAGCAGCACAGTGTCTCCGATCATGGATGCAGGGGCCATTAAAAGGAAAGTTGGATAACTATATGATAATTTAAAAATGGTTAGATTTTGTATAATAAATATTAATTTTATTAATATAAATATCATGTTTCAAATATTTTGACATCAAATTTGGATTCCTAAATTATACGTACTTAGAATCAAACAATATCTTTACTGCAATATCATTAGAATACTCCGGCTTTCAAAATTAACCCTACCGAACCCGAACTTGTTCATGAACTTCAAACCGAACCCATAACGATGTTCGCGTTCGATTCGGGTTCGGAAATTGCGAGTTCGGGCTCGGGTTCGGTTCGGATTTCGAACTGAACCCGAACTCGACCTAAAGTTCGGTTCGATAGGAGCACTAATGCATAATTTTGGAACTAGAGTGTGAATTTAGAGGGAATAGACTGTACACAATATTTTGTATTGATTTTTTAGGGATAAAAGAAAATTAAAATATGGTTTTTGATTTCTTTTTTGATGAACAATTCTTCTCAACTTGATTTTTTGATTTCTTTTTTGACGAACAAATCTTCTCATCTTGATTTTTTGATTTCTTTTTTGACGAATAATTCTGTTTTGAAATAACTTCAATTTGAGCTTTTTCCCAAATGTATGCTATTAATTAATTAAATAAATATTTAGTATTATGAGGATTTCTGATAGCAGAATGATTAAATTAATACATACTTATCGAAATTGCAAGGCTAAATAAATGCGATTCTATACATTCATTGATAAT